CTAATGGTCCAGTGTATTATATAGTTACCTCCCCTGTCTCCCTCTCTATACTACACCTAATGGTCCAGTGTATTTTATAGTTACCTCCCCTGTCTCCCTCTCTATACTACACCTAATGGTCCAGTGTAATATCTAGTTACCTCCCTTGTCTCCCTCTCTATACTACTCTATCCTCCTCAGAACTATACCCTTGCCTTCTGTGTAATATACCCCTGCCTTCCTCCTTAGAACTATACCCCTGCCTTCTGTGTACTATACCTCTGCCTTCCTGTGTACTATACCCCTGCCTTCTGTGTACTATACCTCTGCCTTCCTGTGTACTATACCCCTGCCTTCTGTGTACTATACCCCTGCCTTCTTGTGTACTATACCTCTGCCTTCTTGTGTACTATACCCCTGCCTTCTGTGTACTATACCCCTGCCTTCTGTGTACTATACCTCTGCCTTCCTGTGTACTATAGTCCTGCCTTCTGTGTACTATACCCCTGCCTTCCTCCTCAGAACTATACCCTGCCTTCTGTGTACCATACCCCTGCCCTCCTGTGTACTATATACCATCTGTAATAAGACAATTAGTTGGTACATGACTATACATATCATTACAGATGTGTGACTTTATTGTACCTGGTCTCTGACCTGGGAAATTTACATCTGTCGGTAGTATTTTACATTTTAATGGCTTTTCTTCTTCGGCAATTATACTTCGACAAGATTCATTAATCCGTCTCCTTCACACTGAATAGACATGGTTAGAAAGTTTCAAGTAAAACAATATCTCTTGTATATAGGAAAAATTGTGCAAATACTATGAAGTATGTCAAATAAATTTACTATCGATGAAACACACTCTGTACAGAAGTTGATAAAACTTCCAAGGATGATCAGAACAAGTACTAGATGTTAATAATGCTTTACAACAGTAGTGTGACATTGCTGTTAACATAGGATGTCAAGGAATCTTATACTACTGGCCTTTCCACCTATGTTATATGAAAAGGTATGATTAGTAAACTACCATCAAAATGTGTCCGATCACATATTTCAAGAAAAAGATTTCACTTGTAATAAAAGCTCCACAAAGATGTTGATTAAAATCTCTTGAATTTTCAATAGCAGCCATTGATATTATTTATCAGCACCTGAAGCGAGAAATTGGGTGTTTCACAAAACTCATGTGGCCAGATAGATGTATGTGATGATCAGATCTGGTAAAATTATATTCCCTACCCCTGTTCACATTGCAGGAAATTACACGACCTACCACAACCATTATGCCATCCATTCAACATGGTATCACTACAGTGTTAAATTTGTTTAGAATACTGCTAAATTTTTTTCATAATAAAAAGAAATTTCATTATTTCATTAATAATTCAAACATGTTTTTATACTTGGAATAGTTAACTTTAAATAAATATTTTTCAACTGTGCGTTTCAAGCTGACAACACTTGTTTAAAGTTTTAAGGTAAATACTTGTGGCATACCCTCTCACCTATTATCCTGTATATTGACTTGTGTGTTTCGTTGAGGTTTAATTGAATATAAACAGTGTATCTCCGTATTTATGAACCACATCTATGAATTGCTACAGCAGAATTATAAACACATAAACCAACCTTTCTGATTTGTCATGTTTCAGTGTGTTTAGAAATTAATAAAGAAAACTTGTTTATCAGTGAAATTTACATACTGTAGAATATCAACATTCTTAAGTCGTAGCCACAATAGAAAACTGTGGTATACTTTCAGCAATAATGACCTGTGGCAGGTAATCTGGTCTGGGCAACAGGAACAAAGTAACCTGTTACTGTATATGATCTATTTTTTTTTTGTAAATTTCAATCATTCTGAAAAGATACTCAGTCAAGGTTGTTTAAGTATTTTTCTTATACATCAGCCATATCTCAGATGTCATGAATATTAAGTTCTCAATGCTGAAATGTAATTGAATTGATGAAAAAGAAAAAAAAAAAAAAAAAGACAAGTTTATGGAAATCTGGTAAAAGATAGAAATCACTGGTATACATTTGCAAATATATGTGAAAAGACAGACACAAAATTTAAATGCTGATTATCTCACTTGATAGGAAGTAGTAAATCATTTTTTGATTTTGTCATTTTGACATTTCAATACATATTGGTGCCATGAAATTGTGATGTCATTATGGAACCATTGTGAGCCTTCAGCCAATCAAAGTTCAGGGAAGTCATATTACACAAGTGTCTTGACAATAATTTATGTAATAGGTGTTACAATGCTGATAATAGCTAGGGTATGTTATAAAAGCTGTTACCAATTATTAAACCTTTAAACAACTTCTTCTTATGAACTAAAAGGCCTAGAGGCATGATATTTTGCTGCTATATTCCTGTGATGAAGCCCAACAAAGTTGGAAAAAGAAATGACCTTGACTGATGTCCAAGGTCATGGGGGTCAAATTTTAAAAACATTTAAATGACCTCTTCTCGTGATATTTGGCTGGTATATATATATACCAGGTGAGCACTGTAGGTCCATTGGACCTCTTGTTTATATATGTTGATAAAAGTGTATGTATTTATCTTTATAAAACAATTGTTGATGATAATCCCTTAACTACAAATAATGGCTTATAGTGTGCATGCTTGTTTATGTATAATTCACATGATACAGGTTGTAAGGTCAGTAACCTTAATGCTTAAATCATGGTATTATCAGGTGACTCGCATAACTGCTATGGGTAATGTAAATATAGGCTCTCTTCTTCCCTATCAACATTCTATATAATTACATTGTTACATAACATTCTTCACACACAGTATCAAATTCTAGATAAACAAAAATGGCGGTTTGCTAAACCGTTAATCATTTCATAGTTACTTTGTACATGTATGATATTACCAAGTCAGGCATTTGTAATTGATGTAATTAATTAACGTAATTTAACATTTTCAAAACTTATCCTGTAAATAAACAATTGCGTATGTAGCTGTACTGAAATAGTGTGTTTATAGAATGATAGGATAAACATTGTTGTACCCTGTACTGAAATAGTGTGTTTATAGAATGATATGATGTATACTGTTGTACCCTGTACTGAAATAGTGTGTTTATAGAATGATATGATGTATACTGTTGTACCCTGTACTGAAATAGTGTGTTTATAGAATGATAGAATGAACATTGTTGTACCCTGTACTGAAATAGTGTGTTTATAGAATATGAACATTGTTGTACCCTGTACTGAAATAGTGTGTTTATAGAATGATAGAATGAACATTGTTGTACCCTGTACTGAAATAGTGTGTTTATAGAATGATAGAATGAACATTGTTGTACCCTATACTGAAATAGTGTGTTTATAGAATGATAGAATGAACATTGTTGTACCCTATACTGAAATAGTGTGTTTATAGACTGATAGGATGAACATTGTTGTACCCTGTACTGAAAGAGTGTGTTTATAGAATGATAGAATGAACATTGTTGTACCCTGTACTGAAATAGTGTGTTTATAGAATGATAGGATGAACATTGTTGTACCCTCTACTGAAATAGTGTGTTTATATAATATGAACATTGTTGTACCCTGTACTGAAATAGTGTGTTTATAGAATGATAGAATGAACATTGTTGTACCCTGTACTGAAATAGTGTGTTTATAGAATGATAGGATGAACATTGTTGTACCCTCTACTGAAATAGTGTGTTTATAGAATATGAACATTGTTGTACCCTGTACTGAAATAGTGTGTTTATAGAATGATAGAATGAACATTGTTGTACCCTATACTGAAATAGTGTGTTTATAGACTGATATGATGAACATTGTTGTACCCTGTACTGAAAGAGTGTGTTTATAGAATGATAGAATGAACATTGTTGTACCCTGTACTGAAATAGTGTGTTTATAGAATGATAGAATGAACATTGTTGTACCCTGTACTGAAATAGTGTGTTTATAGAATGATAGGATGAACATTGTTGTACCCTCTACTGAAATAGTGTGTTTATATAATATGAACATTGTTGTACCCTGTACTGAAATAGTGTGTTTATAGAATGATAGAATGAACATTGTTGTACCCTGTACTGAAATAGTGTGTTTATAGAATGATAGAATGAACATTGTTGTACCCTGTACTGAAATAGTGTGTTTATAGAATGATATGATGAACATTGTTGTACCCTGTACTGAAAGAGTGTGTTTATAGAATGATAGGATGAACATTGTTGTACCCTGTACTGAAATAGTGTGTTTATAGAATGATATGAACATTGTTGTACCCTGTACTGAAATAGTGTGTTTATAGAATGATAGGATGAACATTGTTGTACCCTCTACTGAAATAGTGTGTTTATATAATATGAACATTGTTGTACCCTGTACTGAAATAGTGTGTTTATAGAATGATAGAATGAACATTGTTGTACCCTGTACTGAAATAGTGTGTTTATAGAATGATAGGATGAACATTGTTGTACCCTCTACTGAAATAGTGTGTTTATATAATATGAACATTGTTGTACCCTGTACTGAAATAGTGTGTTTATAGAATGATAGAATGAACATTGTTGTACCCTGTACTGAAATAGTGTGTTTATAGAATGATATGAACATTGTTGTACCCTGTACTGAAATAGTGTGTTTATAGAATGATATGATGAACATTGTTGTACCCTGTACTGAAAGAGTGTGTTTATAGAATGATAGGATGAACATTGTTGTACCCTGTACTGAAATAGTGTGTTTATAGAATGATATGAACATTGTTGTACCCTGTACTGAAATAGTGTGTTTATAGAATGGTATGATGTATACTGTTGTACCCTGTACTGAAATAGTGTGTTTATAGAATGATATGAACATTGTTGTACCCTGTACTGAAATAGTGTGTTTATAGACTGATAGGATGAACATTGTTGTACCCTGTACTGAAATAGTGTGTTTATAGAATGATATGATGTGTACTGTTGTACCCTGTATCCTGTATTTTCACTCTGTTTTCCTGTTTTCAGTGCTCGGTTTCTTTCTGCTCCTACTTGACATGCCACAAGAAGCTTCAACCAATGGCAGTGTGGCATTCTTTAACGTGTCCATGAATTCCAGCTTACAAATTCAAGGGAAAAACTTTGCATGGAACCATATTGGTGCCCAGTTAGCGTTCGGCTACAGGACATGTTCCGGTGGACAGCTCCTTTATCAGCACGGTTCCACTGGAGATTATTTATCACTAGACTTAAGTAGCAATGGAACCTTAGAATTTCGGTGGAAGGCTGGAAGTGAAGAATATTTTATTTCATATGGAAATTCTTTAATAGGAAAAGATTCTTATCGTGTTAAGATTTTACGTACAGTTTTAAATGTTTTAACTTTAGAAGTTCGTTTATTTGGAAACATTGTTTTAAGTTCAAATATAGCCAATGACACCTTTCGGGCAAGTATTTGGAATGTGAACCTAGAGGGCAGCACGGGTATTCAAGTGGGGCGTCACCTGACTGGATGTGTTATGGAAGGTCCTGGAATCTCATTTAGCAACAACAATCATGTACAGCCAATCAACGTGATATGGAATGACACCTGTCCAATCAACAGCTGTTCTACAGGTAAGACATTATTACCTCAGTAATATTCATCCTTAAAACAACAATATTATGTCTGATAAATCACATTTATGTCATCCCTAATGATCTCTAGGTATTGGTAGATCAGTACTGAGAAAAGCTTCCTTTTAATATCATCTCTAATGATATATAGGTATTGGTTGATCAGTACTGAGAAAAGTGACTAGTAAGCCATGTTACTGTCTGTGACTAGTAAGCCATGTTACTGCCTGTGACTACTACCCCCACCTTTCTGTCTGTGACTACTACCCCCACCTTACTGTCTGTGGCTACTACCCCCACCTTACTGTCTGTGACTACTACCCCCATCTTACTGTCTGTGACTACTACCCCCATCTTACTGTCTGTGACTACTACCCCCACCTTACTGTCTGTGACTACTACCCCCATCTTACTGTCTGTGACTACTACCCCCATCTTACTGTCTGTGACTACTACCCCCACCTTACTGTCTGTGACTACTACCCCCACCTTACTGTCTGTGACTACTACCCCCACCTTACTGTCTGTGACTACTACCCCACCTTACTGTCTTACTGTCTGTGACTTACTGTCTGTGACTACTACCCCCACCTTACTGTCTGTGACTACTACCCCCACCTTACTGTCTGTGACTACTACCCCCACCTTACTGTCTGTGACTACTACCCCCACCTTACTGTCTGTGACTACTACCCCCACCTTACTGTCTGTGACTACTACCCCCACCTTACTGTCTGTGACTACTACCCCCACCTTACTGTCTGTGACTACTACCCCCACCTTACTGTCTGTGACTACTACCCCCATCTTACTGTCTGTGGCTACTACCCCCACCTTACTGTCTGTGACTACTACCCCCACCTTACTGTCTGTGACTACTACCCCACCTTACTGTCTGTGACTACTACCCCATCTTACTATCTGTGACTACTACCCCCACCTGTGTGGACTACTATGGCCACTTTACTGTCTGTGACTACTACCCCCACCTTACTGTCTGTGACTACTACCCCCACCTTACTGTCTGTGACTACTACCCCCATCTTACTGTCTGTGACTACTACCCCCACCTTACTGTCTGTGACTACTACCCCCACCTTACTGTCTGTGACTACTACCCCCATCTTACTGTCTGTGGCTACCCCCCACCTTACTGTCTGTGACTACTACCCCCACCTTACTGTCTGTGACTACTACCCCCATCTTACTGTCTGTGGCTACTACCCCCACCTTACTGTCTGTGACTACTACCCCCATCTTACTGTCTGTGACTACTACCCCCATCTTACTGTCTGTGACTACTACCCCCACCTTACTGTCTGTGACTACTACCCCCACCTTACTATCTGTGACTACTACCCCCACCTGTGTGGACTACTATGGCCACTTTACTGTCTGTGACTACTACCCCTACCTTTCTGTCTGTGACTACTACCCCCACCTGTGTGGACTACTATGGCCACTTTACTGTCTGTGACTACCACCCCCACCTTACTGTCTGTGACTACTACCCCCACCTTACTGTCTGTGACTACTACCCCCACCTTACTGTCTGTGACTACCACACCCACCTTTCTGTCTGTGACTACTACCCCACCTTACTATCTGTGACTACTACCCCCACCTGTGTGGACTACTATGGCCACTTTACTGTCTGTGACTACCACCCCCACCTTACTGTCTGTGACTACTACCCCCACCTTACTGTCTGTGACTACTACCCCCACCTTTCTGTCTGTGACTACTACCCCCAACCTTTCTGTCTGATTACTACCCTACCTTACTGTCTATGACCACCACACCCACCTTACTGTCTATGATTACCACCCCCTATTACTGTCTGTTGGGTGCTCTGCTGTAACCATCATTAGTACATATCTAGATTTAATATGAGACACCTCACCATGAAGTATTCTTATCACCCTCAGTAAACCTGTATAAGTTTAACCCACCACTACACCATGTTCTCAACGGTGATAATATTATTGTTCATTGTATCTTTTATCATAAAGATCACTACAGTGGCCTTATCATAAAACACAAACGTAACTCGAGTAGTGTGTAGCTTCAGTAAGGAAAGTCTACCAAGCTAAATCAATTGGCCGGGCCTATACTGATTTATTTTACATTATCAAAATAATTGTTCAAAACTACACATACTTTTAATGGTTTATATTTTCCAAGATCATGTAATACAATACCTAGAGGTTTTCTGAAGGTCTTTACCAGTAATCCTTAGTAAAAATAAACTTTTGGTTGTATGTAAATGTCCTTAGGGTGATCTGTACACTTTAACAGTTAAAGGCCTTTGGCCAGTCAGTGTAATTGCAATAAAAACTGAGGTGGTTTGTTTACGCAAAGGTTTTAATAGTTATTTAAACTGATATAAGTATGTATTATGTAGGTACATAATCTTCAAGTTTAGAAAAAAAAATCTTGAGTTTTGTAAGTTTCAACACAGTGACACCTTCATGGGGTGTTCTGCTTCATATTTACACAAATAATCAAATTTTTGAAACAAAAAATAAAAAGAGACAAATTTGATTAATCTGAATATTCATGACATCATTTCATATACATATATATATGTATGTCAATGTTATGTGATGTGAAAGATATGTACTTTGTATACCACTTTGAAGAGGAAGGGAGGTAACCCTTGTTTGCTTGCTGAAATAATATTTGAAGAATGAAAATGGAGCAAGGGAGATAATTGTAAATGTATTTAGTGAAAAAAAAGAGAATTGAAAATTTGATACTTCTGCATATAACGCTGATTGAAAAAAATGACTCATCGATAACTTATATGGAATAACCTGAAGGTCACCAAGGAATCTATTCAAGGTCACATAACAATTTTCTGAAGATTTCTTTTTTGTCTGGATTAATTAATTTCTGTGCTTTTCCATAAGGCCACTCTTTGCTCCCCAGCTTATGAAAATATTTCATCCTATAGGTCCTAACATAAATATGAAGAATTCACTGATGTAAAGATTTTGGATAAAAGGAACAAATATGATGACTGATGCAAAAAAAACTTTTGCTTTTGGAAATAAATCTGGGCAGGAAGCATACAGAATTCCTTTCTTACATACAAGTGCATGTAGCTACTGAAATATTTTACAAAATAAAGAGTGTTTACCGTCCTCTGGAATACTTACCCTATTCTGTTGGATGTAATATAATAGCCAGCAATCATTTATAGTACTGATGTAGATTATAGTGATACAAGTAACAGTAATGTAGATTATAGTGATACAAGTAACAGTAATGTAGATTATAGTGATACAAGTTACAGTAATGTAGATTATAGTGATACAAGTAACAGTGATGTAGATTATAGTGATACAAGTAACAGTGACATAGATTATAGTGATACAAGTAACAGTGACGTAGATTATAGTGATACAAGTAACAGTGACGTAGATTATAGTGATACAAGTAACAGTGACGTAGATTATAGTGATACAAGTAACAGTACTGTAGATTATAGTGATACAAGTAACAAGTGATGTAGATTATAGTGATACAAGTAACAGCGATGTAGATTATAGTGATACAAGTAACAGTGATGTAGATTATAGTGATGTAGATTATAGTGATACAAGTAACAGCGATGTAGATTATAGTGATACAAGTAAATTAGATTATAGTGATACAAGTAACAGTGATGTAGATTATAGTGATACAAGTAACAGTGATGTAGATTATAGTGATACAAGTAACAGTGACGTAGATTATAGTGATGTAGATTATAGTGATACAAGTAACAGTAATGTAGATTATAGTGATGTAGATTATAGTGATACAAGTAACAGTGATGTAGATTATAGTGATACAAGTAACAGTGATGTAGATTATAGTGATATAAGTAACAGTGATGTAGATTATAGTGATACAAGTAACAGTGATGTAGATTATAGTAATATAGATTATAGTGATGTAGATTATAGTGATACAAATAACAGTGATGTAGATTATAGTGATACAAGTAACAGTGATGTAGATTATAGTGATGTAGATTATAGTGATACAAGTAACAGTGATGTAGATTATAGTGATACAAGTAACAGTGATGTAGATTATAGTGATACAAGTAACAGTGATGTAGATTATAGTGATGTAGATTATAGTGATACAAGTAACAGTGATGTAGATTATAGTGATACAAGTAACAGTGATGTAGATTATAGTGATACAAGTAACAGTGATGTAGATTATAGTGATACAAGTAACAGTGATGTAGATTATAGTGATGTAGATTATAGTGATACAAGTAACAGTGATGTAGATTATAGTGATGTAGATTATAGTGATACAAGTAACAGCGATGTAGATTATAGTGATACAAGTAACAGTGATGTAGATTATAGTGATGTAGATTATAGTGATACAAGTAACAGTGATGTAGATTATAGTGATACAAGTAACAGTGATGTAGATTATAGTGATGCAAGTTACAATGATGTAGATTATAGTGATACAAGTAACAGTAATGTAGATTATAGTGATACAAGTAACAGTGATGTAGATTATAGTGATACAAGTAACAGTGATGTAGATTATAGTGATACAAGTAACAGTGATGTAGATTATAGTGATACAGGTAACAGTGATGTAGATTATAGTGATGTAGATTATAGTGATGTAGATTATAGTGATACAAGTAACAGTGATGAAGATTATAGTGATACAAGTAACAGTGATGTAGATTATAGTGATGCAAGTTACAATGATGTAGATTATAGTGATACAAGTAACAGTGATGTAGATTATAGTGATACAAGTAACAAGTGATGTAGATTATAGTGATACAAGTAACAGTAATGTAGATTATAGTGATACAGGTAACAGTGATGTAGATTATAGTGATGTAGATTATAGTGATGTAGATTATAGTGATACAAGTAACAGTGATGTAGATTATAGTGATACAAGTAATAGTGATGTAGATTATAGTGATACAGGTAACAGTGATGTAGATTATAGTGATACAAGTA